GGTGACCTAATAGGTTCCGCTTGAGTTCACAGTATTGTTTTTCCTCTGAAGAACAACACCCAACTCTCATTTTATGTAGTTTACACAAAAGTTCACAACTCACCGTAAGATAATGATATATTTGACCCACACTTAGCCAGCTATAGTAACAAATCCCTCAAGTAAAGGGAAAAAGGAAAAATAGGAATTCATTGTTTAAAGTAACTAAAAAAGTCAGTAAGAGATTAATAGGGCTTTTGCTGTAAGACCTAATTATATTATCAGTACTTCTCCAACTCCATGATGACTTCAGACTCATAGATAATAACACTGAACTATCATCAGAATAATTGTAAGGATATGGCCAGCAGCTCCAAGCCTAGCTTCATATAGCAGAAAAAAAATTTTCTTCTATAAAAGCCCTAGAAATCCTTCTAATGGGACCTACCTGGGCTATAGGCTCAACTTCTAAAGTAAGCATGAGAAAAAAATGGTTGTGTGTTATCACAAAGAGGTTAAATTCTAGGTACGTAAGCTCCTAAACTTGTCAAAGAATCTCATGATCCAAGTAAGGAAACTAAGCAATATTACACGCTGGGCATCCCAGTAACAATTAAGGTGCAAGGATACCTGAAACTTTTTTTTATATAACTCAGGATTAAAATAGGTTTAAAAATACCACCATAAGAGCTGATGTTTGTTGTGAATTACTGTAGCTGGAATGTCTCCCTAAAATTCACGTGTTGGGACTTGACTCTATCGCAAAAGTGTTAGTGGAACTTGACTTAATTATGGTGTTAGAAGGTGGGGCTTTTGAGATTAGTGATGTGTGTTTAAGGCTGACCCCCCCCCATGATTTGAGTCCTGGTAGGTTTATAAAGAATGGAGAGTAGGCAGACAGAAGCCACATAGTTAGAGACCAGAACAAAAAAAGCTTAAGGACAGCGGCTTTGTTGAAGATGCTGTCCCCTTCCATGTGGTAGCCTCTAAGAAGTTAGCCCTGGACCTTAGAGTTCTAATACACTGAGCTGAGTAATGCTCCATTTCTTATAAATCATTCAGTCACAATGCAATAATGTACTAAGATAAGAAATTACTATGTATCCAATTGGTGTATTTTATATTTATCAAGTCATCTGTACAACAACCTTAAGACAGATATTACTATTATTATCCCTAGAAAAACTAAGATAGAAGAAGTAAAATGTTTGTTCAAGGCTATACATTAATTAAGCCATAGATATAAGATTTGAATTAAAACCTACATTGGTTAAAACCACTATAACATATGGTTTCTCAGTAAATTATTTAAACCAAATTTTCTATTACCATGGCAGGATAAAGAAAAGTATTATTTAATCTGAATTTTTAAAAATTATTGTTTTTGCATGCCTTATGAATTTACATGTTCTAAGAATATTTACCTCTTGACTCTATTCCTGTCATAATTCTTTGCAATTTCAAAATCCACTCAGGTAATTCTTTCAGTATCTTTGCTTTTCAATCTCTTAAATTCACCTTTTTCCATCACCCTGACTCCACTCTTACTCCCATTTTCACATCCTAAGATTTATGGTCATTAATTACTATGCTCTAATATTCTCAATTTTAATCACCTTATTCTTATTCAAACTCTCAAATTTCTAGTCCTTACCTCTAGTAAAGAACTAACCTGAAACAGACAACTGACCAATTTACCAGTATCTCAACCTTTATTTTCTCAATTCACCCATACTCAGTTTCCTTTCCACATTCCCTCCTCCTTTATAATTATTCTCCTGAATATATCAACACCTTCATCCTTCTCTAACTTCGTTCTATTTACTTAAGAAAAATCTCCACTCTATGCCTACTCAGTGATAACACTCATATTAAAATTAACTGGACAAAAATGCAAAATCACATTGATTCACTTCACTTAAATTAACAACCACAAACTTCAAGTGCAAGCTGCTATACTTTAGGTACTACTTTCTCTATATCTTCATCCTGTCAAGACTTTGGGCATGCAGAAAAATGGACCTAGTGTGTTTTCGAGCTGCTGAAGCCAGTGTTGGAACCATGTAGTTGGCCATGTAGGATGCAGTTCCCTTACCACTAGGCTATTTAACCAGCCCCAGGAGTACGTGGAGTTTAATCTCCGCATACCTATAAATTTTCCAAAGTTCTATTTATTAGTGATTTCTAGTTTCCTATCATATGGATCAAAAAGAATACTTAATACTGATCTAGGTAAATTTGTTAAGACTTGTTCTGATGCCTAACATGTGATCTATCCTAGAGTTGAATTCTACCAAACTTTCAGAGAATTAATATCAATACTTAGACTCTTCCAAAAACCAGAGCTAGCAGAAATATTTCCTAACACATTTTTCAGGGCTAGTATTGCCTAGATACCTAAGCCAGATAGATCAAGAAAACTATAAGGCACTATTTCTGATGAATATTGATGCAAAAATTCTCAATAAGATGTTAGGAAATTCAGCAATAACATCAAAAAAATTATACACCATGTTTAAGTGGGCTATATCCCTGTCCTAGAAGGCTAGCTCAATATACAAAAACCAATCAATGTATACATCACATGAGCAGGCTGAAAGGCAAAAACCACATGATCTTCTCAAGTGATGCAAAAAAAAAAAAAAGGAAAAAGAAAAAAAGCATTTGACAAAGCTCAACATTCTTTCTTGTTAAAAACTAAACAGTTAAAGGATAGTTACTCAAAATAGTAAGGGATTTACTAAATATACACAGTCAGCAGCATAATCAATTCAAAGAAGTTGAAAACTGTTTTTAGATCTAGTACAATAATACCTATTTTGCCACTTCTATTCAATATAATACTGGAAACATTATCAAGAGTAATTAGATGAGAAAAAGGAACAAAAGGTACCAAATCAGAAAGGAAGAAATAAATTTCTTCCATTTGTGGGTGACACGATTTCATATGTAGAAAATCCCAAAGATGTGCCAAAAAACTGTTAGTGCTAATAAATCATTGAAGTTACAGAATATAAAAATGGCATAAGAAAATCAGTGGCATTTCATATACAAATAACCTTATTGAAAAAAAATCAAGAAAACATTTCCATTTACAATAGCTGCAAAGAAATAAAGTATCAGAAATAAATTTAACCAAAGAGGTGAAAGGTCTGTATACTAAAATCTATAAAACACTGATGAAAGAAAATGAAGAGGACACATATAAATGGAAATATAGTTCATGCTCATGGATTCCTAAAATGCTAGTACTACCTAAAGCAGTATGTAAGTTCAATACAATGCCTATCAAATCCCAACAACATTCTTCACAGAAACAGAAATAACATCCCTAAAAATTGTATAGATCCACAAAAGACTTTGTATAGCCAAAACAATTCTGAGGGGAAAAAAAATAAGATTGATGGTATCACATTTTCTGATTTAAAATATTAGTTACAATAATTTGAAAAGTATGGTGCTGGCAGAAAAACAGATACAAAAACCAATGGAAGAGAGGACCCAGAAATAATCTAAACATAAAATATAAACTATTTTTTGACCAGGGAAAAAGGATGCAATGGGGAAAGGATATTCTCTCCAATAAAATGATGCTTTTGAGGATGACAGGAGCACACAGTGGTGCAGAAGTGATGCAACTGGACCCACATCACGTGATCTCAGGTTAATATCCCAATAATTTTTGTACACACTGGGCAAACACTCATGTGCCTGTGATTCAGGCCAGCTGAGGCTGCAAGTGAATCAGAATGTGAGGATCCTGTTAGGGGTTCCCATAAAAAAAAAATATATACGGTGCACAGCTAGTAGGTGGCATGTGGTTAAGGTGCTGGACTCCCACATGTCTGACCAAGATTTGAGTCCTGGACCTGGCAGCTTGTTTTCTCACTTTCTCCTCTCTCTCTCTATTGCTGGGAGGGAGTATGTGTGCCCTTTAGCAACTTAAACTAATTTCCTAAGGCAACAGAATCATTTCATGTGGGAAACATTTTCCTGTTTGAGAGATGTTCTGATAGACAGTAGATTTGGAAATATAAAAATAGAAGACTAAATTAGGTTTAAAAATACAAACTGTCTAACTTAGAACAAATCTTCTAATACCAAAAAAAAACACCAAAAACCCAAAAGCCCAACAAAACTCAAAGCCAGATAAACAAAACCACTCCTAAAATAATTACAAGAAATAAGATGATTATAAAAACAAAACAAAAAATGTGCTAAGTACATTGTTTTCCTGGTAGGAATGAAAAAATAGCAAAATATTTATTAGGTTATTGGAAAAGTCATGTCATATTTTTCTGTCTTTCTATGCAAAAATGCAACATGAGTTTTCCAATGACCCAATGTCTTCATTAAAGAAAATTTATAATTATGATATTATTGTAAAATTATCTTAATACAAAACTTCTATATTTGTCAAGTTACTTTACTAGATATATAAAATCACATAAAGAAAAATTACAAACACTATTTTATTGTAAATAAAATAATTTATTATATGAGTCATTAAAACACAAGTAATATACCTCCAATGAACAGATTTAATTTTTAAATATACTTTCAAAGCTGTTACGCACAGTTCCATAGTCCAGGTGGTCAGTTTCTTCTCCTCAAGGTTGGAAAGCACTTAACATAGGGAATTCAAAAGGAACCTAAAACACCATAAAAATTGATTAAAAATAGTTATGATTATAAAACAGATTAGTTTAAAAATAGCTTAAATTATGGATTTAGAAAATTAGTGAATCATGTCAGTAAAATAAAACTTAGTTTTATAAATAATTTATACATAAATTGTGACTTATTTAAAAAAAGAAATTTAAGTGTGCCTTAAAAAAAGAATGAATTTTAATATCTATAGATTTTTATACTCTTAGGGTGATAATAGTAATCAAGAGAATTTTTAGTTGTTTTTAATAGCAATATTCTCAACAAAGAAATATGGCAACTCCAACCCTGTATTTTCCTACTTTAAGTTGGATGGCTAATTTGGTATTATAGGCCAAACCATTTTACTCTAATAAAGTAGCATCCAAACTGGTCAGTCTTAACAAAATCTTTTCTAAATTAGGTTATTATACTCAATTCTCACAGATTCTGATTTCTTGGTTCTGGGTGAGAGTCTAAGAATCTTTATACATAAAAACACTTGTTAGTGGTTCTCTACTTGGTTGCACATTACAATCACTTTGAGAAGTTTGAAAAATTCTAACATTCATGCTGCATTCCAAACTAATTAAACTGAAATTCTGTTGGAGAAAACTAAGCATCAATATATTTTTTAAGATTTGTTTTTGACTAAGTGTTTTTTAAAAGTTCCCACAGCATTCCAATGAGTGGTTAGGATTTAAAAACCATTGTTTTGGGTGATTTTGGTTAACAGTCTGGGACTCACTTTTCTTATTTATTTTAATTTGCCAGAGAGCATGTGAGTTTGCCAGAGACAGAGAGGCAGAGAGAGAGAGGGAGATAATATCCTCAAATGGGCATGGTCACACAGCAATGCCTTCTTATTTTTTTCTCTACTTGTCAGGATTCTGGGCACACACACAAGTCTGATGTGTTTTCCTAGGCTGTGGTGGCTGGGATTCCAACTGTACCATTGGCATATGAGATTCAGCTGCCTTATCCACCAGACCATGAGCTGGCCCATAGAACCCACTATCCTTATACAAGGGAAGCTCAAAAAGCTGATGAAAAATGTGTATTATAAAAAATTACATGTGGATCTCAAATTTTTTGCACCAAAAAACCTCTTTAATTCAACTTTTCTATGAACTTTCTGAAGCACTTTTCTACATTAATCAGGATAGTTTCTTTTCACTTAATGTGCTCTCCTGAGTCAACATGATAGCTTCTCTCCTATGTTATTATTTGTTTATCTCTCTCTTTTTTTAATCTTTTCTGTTTAGAAAAGGAAAAAAAAAAGGAAGGTACTTCTACTTCATATCTATGTCAAAGGAGATTTTAATAGTAAGACCTCAGATGAGGTCTTCTTCTCTTACATAGAAATCCAGTTATTTTAATTTTTAATGTATGTGCTTTTATAAAAAACTCATTTCCCCAATCAAATTTTATAACACAAATGACACCTAAACCAGATATATCATAAAACAGAAATCATATTACAGAATTAAGTTTAGGAACGACACAAATGCCAAGACCACATTCTGTGTTAAAGCAAACATACACATTCTCCAAGTACATAAATTGACCTGATTCACTAACTTTCCTTAGAAAAATCATATAACCTAAAAGGACAGCACAGAAAATTCAACAACAAATCTAAAAAGCACATAAAAAATTTGTTCCATCTACACAAATAATTTTAGAAAATATGTCATTTGAATAAAGTATAAAAAAGTGTTGCTTAATCTGAATAATGGGTAGAGGAGGGACAAAACATTTCAGGGGGAGGGGGAGAAAAACAAAAAAACACTGCCCCAAAAAGGATACAACAAGAAAGGATACGCTTTGCATGACAGTAATACAGCAGTATTTACGTTTTTCAGGAATGCTTCTAAAGAAGAACAGCAGAATGCAGTTTAAATTTTTTTTTCTTTTTTCTTGTTTTCATCATTAGCTTTATAAATAAATGATTTTAAAAATATATACAAAAATTATTTAATTTTTCCTCTAAGGTATTTATAAGACTTTTGCCTACACCACCATACTTAACAATAAAACTCAAATACTCACGACATCTCACAGAGGAACTGAACATTAAGCAAAATTTTCTCCTATTTCATAATTATGTTTTTTCATCTAAACACCTTTTATCAACTTATTTCAAATTCTCCCAGTTTATGAAGGGACATTTTAAAATAAGAATACACTTTCATTTATTTCCCCAATTAATCAATGTCACACATTCTACCATTTGTATCATTAAATTACTTAAGTGTGCATTAACATGACTTACTTCAAAAATAAAAGATTTCACTCCACGCAAAGGTATTTTTGTGAGATATGTTAATAGTTAATTTTATATATTCTGCACTGTAGAATTTTAAGTTAGAAAATTTAGCTTTAAATGTTTATCTCAAGAGTTTTCAAGATGTGTCCCTAAACCAGTTGCTTCACCATTACTTGGAAACTCATTAGTCCTACAAATTTTCAGGTGCCACAGAAGGTGATCAACCTTTCTTGGGTTGCCAGATACTTTTGCTATTTTTAGCAGTGAAAGTATAGCATACTGAGAAACAGCCACAGGAAATATGAGATGATCTGGTCACCCTAGGTCCCCACCTCAGAGCTACTGATTCAGAAACTCTTGAAGGAGAGAGTCTAGCCATCTATTTTGTCAGACTCTGTTAGTGATAACAATACACATTAAAGTTTGAAAACCATTGCTCTACTCTAGGCAAAAAAAGTAAATAAAGAGTGAAAGGCAAATTCCCCTAATAAAATTCATTTCCAGACTTAATTTTACATACAAATGGGCTTTATTTGGTAGTTAAAATTTTGAAGTATAATGGGAATTAATTGCACAGATATACTTTCATTAAAAAAATCTTAAAGAGATATCTGAATCATTTCTTGGTCAGGCTTTAGCTTTTCCTAATATTATCTCTTATAAGAAACAGATATTTTAAAAAATTATACTTTATCCACATTACTTACCTTTACTAATTTTTAACTCTTTTTCCTTCTTTAGAATCTTGTTTTGGTCTAGCAGACCGAGCAAACTGCTAATATTTTTATATTAAGGTTTGTTTCATGAACAGGTAAGTAATTCTTTTCTAAGTAATTATTAAACACTTTCTAATGAGGGTAATAGTATAGTTTTAAATACACCTTGACTATCTTTCTGCCTGCTATCAACGATTTGGGGAGGACATTTAAAAATTAATCTTTTCCTTATGGTTATTTTTTTTTTCCTTTTTGATTTACAGAAGGTGTATGCACTTGTCAAAGAGAGATAAAGAGAGGGAGAGAGTTCACCCCTGAATGGGAACTGATCATGTCACAATCCCTTCACCATTTTGCCATCTTATCATGATTTGGGGCTCATATATAAACATGCTCAGTATTTTTCAAGTTGCAGGGGCTGGGATTTGAACCTTAAGTTTGGCCTTCTGTGATCTGGCTCCCTTAACCAGTAGGTCACTGGCTTGCTCCGTACTCACTTATTCAACTTGAAATTTTGTTCCTGTACCCATTTTGCTGATTTCTAATGTTCCAAATAAATTAATTACTAAAAGCAAGATGGTTAATCAAAGATATAGTCTGGTTATTAAAATTTTCAAGTAGAAATGTGAATTACAATATAATAAAATAATAAAACTATATTATTTTTTAAAGAATTATTTTATTTAACCTTATTTATTTTAACTTAACCAGAGAGGTTTTTAAGAGAGAAAAAGAGAGAGAAAGCAAGCACCAGGTCTGGGAATAGAACCATGGTCGGCCATGTGGGAGTCCAGCACACTTAACCACCATGACACCTGCTAGTCCCATATTATTTTTAATGACTCTAAATGTATCTAGACACGGTAGTCTCTTAGGCCTAGCATAATTAAGTGAAATTACATTAAGTAAAACATTTAGAACTTGGTTGAATATCCTCATACTGCTGAATTTCCTATTTTCCAACAAAAAAATATAAATTAACATTGTTGCCTGAGTCAACAAAGGCTTAACTATAACAAAATATCTCAGTGTGAAATGCTATTTGTTGAGAATTCTAAAAGATGACATGAAAACTGGTTGCAGTTATACTTTCCTAAAAATTGTATAATTTTGGAAGAGACTGATTTAAAGGATACAACCACCATAGGTCTTCCAAAAAGAACATATCCATTAGCTTCTTTTAAGGCTTTTGCAGCAGCTTTTTCATTTGGAAGTCCAATGAAAGCTTGTCCTTTCATGCGACCTTCTTTCATCAAGCGTATATCAAACCTATAAAGTCAAAGAAGAGTAGTTTTGATTTTATGAATGTCAAACATTTCAAGGTACTGTATGAGAATGAACAGTATAATTTGAAATTTTGATATCTCAAAGTAAAAATGACTATACTATCTTATTAGCACATTAATTAGTCAGGTTTTATAAATTTCTATTTTACATTTGTTATAAAACTGATTTATCTGGGGCCAGAGGTGGCGTAGTGGTTAAGGCACTGGACTCTCATATGGCCAAGTGCGGTTCGAATCCTGGACCTGGTAGCTTGCTTTCATACTACCCCTGCCAGACCCCAATCTGTCTCTGCACATGTCCTATAACAAAATAAAAAGTTATTAACAATAAAACTAGTCTTAAAAAAACCTGATTTATCAGTTAGTAATGCAAGTTTGATGATGTGCATCTACCTATTAATTATTTATTATTTTAACTGCCGTATCAATAAATATGTATTTCTGGGACACAGTTATTTTTTGATGTGCAATGATCAAATTTGGTACTAACACATTCATGATCTCTGATATTTATCATTACTTTGTGCTGGGAACATTCAAAATCCTTTTAGCTATTTTGATATATAACTAGGTGTTAAGATATTTCTAACTATTTTAAATGTATTTATGGAATTTAATAATCCTACTAGCAAGTATACAAGCAAATTCTTATTTTTATTTAATATGTTTTTAAAAGTTTCTTTTAGTTAACACCATCCACTAAAATGGAAAAATAAAACAAAACAAAACAATTATACATCTAAGGACAGAAGGGCTGATAGAAAGTAACTGTAAGCAATTATAGAATTCACTGAATTATTGCAAGCAAATACAGGATTCCAGAGTAGGAAGAAACTTTACTGATTATCTAATCATACCTATCATTTTATAAGTGATGCCTACAGAGATTGATTGATTCTTTAAAAAATTCTGATTTAGAGACAGAAAAACAAACCAGTTATTTTTATTCAAGAATAGTGTTCTGTTGTTTCATAGTGTACTCATCCTTTCAGCATTTTTGAGAGAAAACTTCATTCGAAAGGTCCAGCCACTATGGAGAACAATTTGGAGATTCCTCAAAAATCTACAAATAGAACTACCATATAATCTAGTAATCCCACTCCTTGGTATCTACCCAAAGGACAAAAAAATACTTAATCGGAAAAGTGCTTGCACATCGATGTTTATTGTGGCACTACTCACAATTGCTAAGTCATGGAACTGACCCAAATGTCCACGAACAGATGAATGGATAGAAGAACTGTGGCACATATACTCTATGTAATACTATTCAGCCATAAAAAAACCAAAAAACAAAAAACAAAAAAAAAACCTGGCTTTTGACAGAAAGTGGAAAAATACAGAAGATTTACTGCTGAGTGAAGTAGGCCAGGATATGAAGGCAAGACATTGTATGTCCCCACTTAAAATGGGGTCTGAGGAAGGACATTTACAAGAAAAAAATAGGGAGGCAAAGCATTAATGGGACAAAGAAATGTGGTATTATCTGTTGAACATATTTTATAGTTTTATCAACTGGACTAGGGAGGAATGTTCACCTGTTGAAATATTCATTTTGTAAGCTAACTAATGTTACTGAATGTATAAAAGAAAACGAAATAAAAAAGAAATGAAATAAATAGACCTTGAAAGCCAAAAAGAAAAAAAAGGTACTTAAGAAAGTCATTTGCTACTGCTGAGACAGTCTATGGAACTTGCTAAAGAATATAAAACACAAAAAACTATCAATTAAAAATTCCAATGAAAGGTTTTTAAATATATATATTAAAAAAAATCACATGACCAGCCTCATGAAAAACAACATTATCATTTTGAGATCTATAGCTTTCTCAATATAGAATTATTTTTCCCTCAAATACTAATTTCAGACAATATTGGAAATACATACACATGTATTTTTACATATCCATACACAGTTTTTTTTTCTTTTTCTTATAATCATGACTCAAACAGCAACAAGAAAAAGAGCCAGGATACTGCATGACCAGCAGAGGAAATTTTTGGTATTCTAACAAGAAGAGAGATTCTGCCACTAATGAGAATAAATGGATAATTTTTTGTTCCTTTTTTTTTTTTTAAATTCCATAAAGAGTGTGCACTTGTCTGAGACAGAGGCAAAGTGAAAAAAAAATCACTCCCCAGGGGGGCACAGTCATACTGCAATCCCTTCTCCATTCTCCTCTCAGGACTTTGGGTACATGGTCTGCCATATGGGAATTCAGCACCTTAACCAACACGCCACCTGCTGGTCCCTAAATGGAGGGATATAGAATTATCCTAGACATTCCTATCTAAAAAGTTACATAGGCCAGATAAGATTTGTAAAGTATTGGTTTTACTTGAAGATTAAAATATAATTAACTACATAAGAGTCTCATCCCTATTTTCTATCTCTATTCAAATGTCTCTCACTTTAATTTTTCTATTTCTTCCTACCTTTATATTGAATAGCCAGATGGATCATGTGCTTTCATGAGAGGAAGAGAGAGAGATGGCTCAAGTACTTTCAAGAGAGAAAGTTCGCAAGAAAGCAAGCAGGAGCATGCATTCCATTCCCCATGTCACACCACAATCCTTTGTCTTCCATTCATTCATCCAACTCTGCAAGATTTTGGCCACATATGCCCAAGCAATGGTGTGCTTTTCAAGATGACAGGCATCAGATTTGAAGTATGGTAGGCCAAATGAGTTCTGGCTCCCAAAGCATTATGTATAACTACTATGCTTCAGGGTTTTTGCTATAAAGCACGTGTGTTCGCCAGAAAGACAGAGACAGAAAGTGAGAAATCACCCCCTAGGAGTAATGGACATGCTGCAATCCCTTCTCCTCTATTCTCCTCTCCAGATCTTGAGCACACATGCACACACACCCAGCCTGAGTTTCAGCCACTGGGTCTGGGACTCAAATTGCGGTTGACTACACGGGAGTCCAGTGACATAGCCATTATGCCATTTGCTGGTCCCCTTCTTCCTATTTTTTAATTCATATGACCAAGATTCTTTTTTAATTTAGAGTTAAAAAAATATGAAAATTTAAAGAATAAAATTCTAACTCCAAACATTAGTTTTCATATGACTTATAAATTGCATCCCTCTCCTTTTGCTTTTACAAAATTGGCAACCTTGCTTTAGACAATCTAATGAAAAGATGAGAATTTACTGACAGAGTGAAAAAAACTACTCCCTGGAAATAGGCTTAGGAAACTATTTCACTAAGCTTTCCAGGTGATTCTTACACAATGTTAAAGTTTGAAAACCACAGCTTTAAAGGGAGACTTAGGGCCAGAATTTATCATGAGGCCTGTTTTTGTAAATACAGTTTTACTAGAACACAGCCATGAATATTTGCTTATGCACGGTTTATGGTTGCTTTCACGCTACTATAACCAAACTGGAAGGGGCAACAGAAATGATAGCATGTAATTTTAAAAATATTAAAATTTTAGTATCTACTTATTTACATAAGATTGCCAACTTTTGTTCTAGACATCTAAAAGATTAATCACACAACAGAATAAACCAATTTCTTCAATTACCTCTTATCTCTAAAGAAAAGTGTTTGGAGAAAAAAAGGAATAAACTTGTAATGACTAAAACATAGTAATTTGAGATTATGACAACCACTTACATTATCCGCTGTGCTTCTGATGTAAAATCAACATATCTCCCAAAAATATATTTAAGGTCCTAGGATTTCAACAACAAAAAGATAAATAAGAAAGCCAGGAACAAAAATGTAAAATAATAAATACAATTTATAAATTTCAACTTACCTTTTCTTGAACATGTCTAGCTAAATTCTTTACATAAATTCTACAGTTTGGTTCACCAGGTTCATAACTTCTGAAAACTGAAAGTGTTTCCATTTCTTATTTAAAAATGAAAACAAAACAAGAATATTTAATTAAGATATTTTCACTAAATGGTCATAAAAACTACAATCATGTTTAAATATAACTTAAATACACAAAATAAGCAATAAGAAAATGTTAAAACTATAGAAGTTAATAATTAGTGAACGTATAAAAACACTCAAAATATAAAAGAACATATGAAATACATTTAACTTTTGATTTAAAAATTTCAGACATACCGAGTAACTAAAATTTATCAAAAAAAAAAAAGACAAATCTACCATTAAAGGCCCTTTAAGATGAGTTACTTCACTAAAAAGACCATGAAAAATGAAATACTCAAACATAATAATCACGTATTTCAGACAAACTGTGTGGCCTTTAGATCCCTTTATATTTTTTCCTACTGAATGTCAGTTCTTGACAACTAGATGCTCTGTCCAAAAATGCTAGTTGGCAACATATTCCCCACTGATGTGGGAAAAATTATGTTACACATCAGTCTAAAACCCTTAAATATTCTTCTACAACAAACTAAAATAGTAAGCAATTATGCTAGGATATAAAAATCTTGAAGCATAGATTTTAAATCATCAAATAATTATATATTTTTCCTACACAATCATCTCAAGACACGTCACTACAATGTTCTATCAATTGTGTTAGAATATATAACTCTAGGCACACAGGTCACGTTGAAGCTTTTAAACGATATATAAAAATTTTAGAAAAAGAAACAAAAATTTAGACTGAGACAAAGACAGACTGGAAATAATGTATAGAAAGGAAACTCCTTTCTATGAAGTACGTATTTGAGGCTTAAAAATCAAAAGAGGAGATTTTAAACATTAATTAGAAGATGTTTTGCAGTGTATGCCTTCAAGTAAATTGCACCAAGAGATTTGTTTCTGTCAAGTCAAAAACTGTAAATGGATTATATGCTGATTTATTTCATGACATTACCTTCTCTAGAAATTCTGCCCTTTTCCAACTCTCTTCTAGAAATACATTCTGATGGCATTTCATCAGAGTCTTCTTTAATCTCCTCTGTGATGTTCATATTAGGTTTTGGGTAGATTTTTCCAAATCCTATATTAGATGCATCAACTTCAGTAGCAGGTAAATCTAAAAGTTCAATATTAACATTATACGTTAAAAATCATTCCCTCCAAAACCAGTTCCCCTCTTCCCATTTTTATTTTATTAAGATATCTTTTGACATTGGGACCAGCAGTTGGCGTAATGGCTATGTCGCTGGACTTCGATGTAGCTGATGACAGTTCGAGTCCTAGACCCGGCAGCTTAAACTCATGTTGGGCGCGTGTGCGTGCATCCCCAAGATCCCGAAAAGAGAATGGAGGAGAAGGGATTGCAGCGTGGTCATCCCCCCAGGGGGGGGTTTTTCTTGCTTTCTGTCTATCTCTCTGTCTTTCTGGTGAGCGCACATGCCCTGTAGCAAAAACCTCTCCTCCCCGCACCCCGAAAAATAAAAAAAAACTCTCTGTCTCTCTCTCTGTCTCTCTGTCACAGATGTAAGCAAAATTTTTCTGAAAAGGTGTAAAAAGTACATATTTTAGGTTTTAGAGATAATTTGATTCTCTCATAACTGTTTAACTGTGCTATTAAAGCATAACAAAAATTAAAAAAAAAAAACACGCAATAGTCAAATAGCCAAATAGCTGCTTGATGCTGGTATTTAGAGAGTATGCAAAGTGGAAAGAAAATGAATTTAGTTTGAAGATGTTTACTCTGAGACACCAGACGGGCATCTGGTTCAACTGTTCTTTAAGCATATAAAATACGTGCTTTGGGGGACAATAATTTGGTGTGTTTGATACCCTCTGAAGTATCAACAATTGTGTAAAAGGAATAAATTTGCAATTTATTAAATAAATTACATAAGCAACAAAGGCATTTTGTTAATGGGATATGGTTGCTCAACAATATTTACACAAGCTTATAAAAATCTTCATAGTGCTATACAAGAATACTGCAAAATAAACTATAATCTTAATGATTTAAAAATTTAGATCAACATACTATTCTGGAAAAAACACTATAAAATAAAGACACTTTGGAACCAGCAAATGACATAATGGTTACACTGCTGGACTCCCATGTAGTTTACCATGGTTTGAGTCCCAAACCCAGGGACTTAAAATTCATGCTAGGCATGTGTGTGTGTAGCTAAGACCCCAAGAGAAGAATAGAAAAGAAGGGCCTGTGGTTTGGCCATCCACCCAAAGGGTGATTTTTTTTCTATCTCTCTCTCCGGTGAGCTCACATGCCCTATAGCAAAAATTCTCTAAAAAAAAAAAGCAAACATCTATCTCTAAATAAATAAATAAATAAATAATAAGACACTTCTATTTGGGGTTAAATAAATAAATAATAAGACACTTCTATTTGGGGTCACTAAAAGAAATCCATTAATTTCTAACTTGCCGCCAAGAAGCCCAATCTTAATTTGGTCCTAGAGGAAGTAAAATAAATTATTTGTAGGCTTAAGAAATGACTCCTGGGGCCATCAGGTGGTGTGGTGGTTAATAGCACTAGACTTCCACATGGCTGACCATGGTTCGAGTCCTGGACCTGGTGGCTTCCTTTCTCACTCCCCTCTCACCTCTGTCCCTCTCTGGTCTAAATAAAATAAATAAATAAAGTTAAAAAGAATAATTCTTTAAAAAATTGCTCTTCAATGATTGATATCCAATAAAACCACAATTTTTTTTTTTTGAGTTTTTGCTAATAGGGCTTGTGTGCTCACCAGAAAGACAGAGACAGATGGAGAGACAGAAAGCAAGAAATCACCCCCAGGAAGGATGGCCATGCCACAATCCCTTCTCCTCCATTCTCCTCTCGGGATCTTGGCGTGTACACAAACACACCTGGCATGAGTTTAAGCCACCGGTTCCAGGACTCAAACCGCAGTTGACTAGGTGGGAGTCTAATGACGTAGCCACTATGCTACATGGTCCCAAAATTGTGGTCCCACCACAGTTTTACTTTTAAAAGATAGAAACATAGAGTTTTTCATTCATAAAATATTAATTTTAGTATTTAGCAAAAATTAAACTAGGTTAGGTAAAATGTTTGTAAAGATATGGCTACATATTCACTAAAACCATTCTACTTTCACACCTAAAGAATGAAACAAAGCTCTAAAAAGTTATGTGAAAAGGATGCAAACAAAATGCTACATTTAACATACATATATATTTAGAGCATTATAAAAGTCTCTTCATAATGCAGACAAAATAATATACAAACAGAACTCCTGTAGCCTGAAGGAATCAGTAAGAAAATCTTTTAAATAACTTCTATAGCTATGTTTTAACATTATTTGATAGTGATGTAGAATGGAATGACTGTCCCTTCTCATTTGGATCTAAATCTGAGTAAACTAAGCTTAAAAAAAAATTAAAAACTATATCAGAGGGTGACTAATCATGAAACAACAAAAAAAAATTACGTAAATCAAAATATACATATTGAAAGAAACAGAATATAAATTCCAAAAGTTAGGAGACTCTAACCTAATCATAGAACCTGCTACATAGAAATATTCAATAAGTTGTTACTGAATAAATTAATACCATGTCAAAGTCGGTAAGAATACATACATACATGCATACACATATACATCACTCACACACAAACACATACACAAATTACAAACAATGGGTACTTGTAGGTTATGGGACAGAGGAAAGTAGGGTTTAGATATTAATTGTTTAAAAACTTTTTGTTACTGTTTTGATTACATTTCTATAAGCTTGTTTTATTTCTCAAATTTATAAAGATGAACAAATTGTCATTATAGTATGACATCCAATTAATATATAAAATAAGCAAAAAAGAATCTGATAATTTCAATATATTATCTTTAAACTTAAGAGTAGGCTCCTTGATAAATAATCTTCCATATCTTTGGACTAAAAAACATACTTTCATGAACGCTAAAATTCACAAGACAGTAGCATTCTTGTTGCCTAACCAATAATACAATTACACAAATAAAACCATAGGACATCATACCAAAGAAACAATAAAAAATGAAATCAATGTGAGAAACTCTTCTATGTAGAGTGTAAACATCAGCAAAAATACTTTCACTTTAACGAGGTCATGTCTAGCAAAAGATATCAATGACAATCACATTTAGCATTGATTTTAGTTATATAAGAAAATTAAAATAGATATTATTCCATTTTATTGTAGAAGACCTACTCACTTAAAGAAAACTAGCAAATACTGAAATACAGAAACGTTACATATAAAACTTAATTCTAAAACAAAAAGCTGATTTCAGCATATAGAAGAACTAAAATATCCTTACCACAATTTTTTTCCTCAGAATTTTGTTCCTTCTTTAAATCTTTCTTAAACGCCGCTGGCATGTTGGTGGATATATGGAATTCAATTTTTTTATTACCTACAGGTTGTGGTTGGTCAAAAACATCCGAAGGTAATAGCACAGGATGTGAATTGCTATTTTAAAACAATCACAGCATTAGTTTGTAATTGTAAATAAAATTGTGACTAAAATATTATTTCCGATTTATTTTAAATTGTAAAAACCAATACTACAAAAAGCATTTACTACACATTATAAGTATTGCACAAAGTGAATTTTCTTATTTCAATAATCCCTAACAATACTCTAATATGGGTACTATTATGTTTATCTACAGATAAGAAAACTTGAGGTTAATAATTTGCTTAGAGTCACTCAGTAAATGACACAGGATTTGACAACTATTAATTCTAAACTGCAGGATATTTACCAATACACAAGAATAGCTCATTCTGTGTTTAATACAAGCATTTTTAATATACTAATTTTTATATATGATATAAAAATGTTGTAATAACAGAGCAGCCACTAGCCAGACATGGCTAATGGCATTTAAAATGTTGCTGTCCAAATTACAATATGCTATGAATATAAAATATGCATCAAATTTTAATAACTTTGCATTAAAAAAGAACATAAACTATCTCAATAACTTTTTATATTGGTTACATGATAAAATAATATATTGGTATTATGAGCTAAATCTATTTCTTTTTATTTTCTTAATGTGCCTACTAAAAAAATTTATGTGGCTCCTGTTTTCTATTTTTATTGTTCACTGCTGTTATAGAGATTAAAGGTATAGGTTACTTTGGTATCAAGACAGACATAGGGGGCAAAAATGTACATATTATTATTTATATCCAAAGTTAAATAAAACAAAAAGATCAAAACCCTTTTCTTTAAAAATGAAAAAAAAGATCATTTTAATAACTCCTTTATTAATTCTGAAGTTATTTATAACTCAAGGGAAAATGTCCTTGTAGAAAAGCTAAATAAAGTTAACACTTCAAAATGATAATTTGATTAAGATATAATTAACATACACAGAATTCTGTGACAAACAGGCAAATAAAATTTCTGCAATAATATAAACTAAATTCACATTAATGCAAAATCTCATAGACAAAAAAAAAAAGGGTAATAAACTTCAAACAAAACACATATACAAAAACTATCACTATGCTAGCAATTTTTGGATGATAAGAAAATCTCTGGGCCAGCTGATGGAGTGGTGGTTGAAGAATAAGATCCTATGTGGCCTAATGTGTGGTTTGAGTCCCAGACTCAGTTTCTTGAAAATCACACCATGTGTATGTGCAATCGTGACCAAAATGCCAAAAGGAGAGACTGAAGGAGAAGGCACTGTAACATGGCAACCTTCCATGAGGGGTGTCTGCTCACTCTTCCAGTACTCATTTCTCTCCAGTGAGCACGTATGCCCTCTATCAAATTTAAAAAATAAATGAAAGAAATAAAATGTCCAAAACACAATAGAAAGTGGTATCTAATAACATTTTTGCATAGTTATGGCCTTGAACCTCATCCCAAATTTACTTATGCCCTGGGAAATATATTTTATTTTTATTTATTTATTTTTAGGTTTTAACCATAGGGCACATGTGCTCACATGAAGAGAAAAAATAAGAGAGAAAGTGAGAAATCACCTCCCAGGAAAGTTAGCATATACTTCAATCCCTTCTTTTTTATTCTCCTCCCGAGATATTAAGTACGCACATGCACATGCTCAGTGTGATTTTCAAGCTGCTAGGTACACACATGCACATGGCTGACCACATGTGGGAACCTAGCTGCTTAAAAATTTATTGTAAGAAAACACAGTCTAAAAGAATTCCTTTTTTTTTTTTTTTGAGAGGGATTTTTTAATTTTTTTCCTATGGGACATTTGTATTCATCAGAGTAACAGAGAGAGAGACAGGCAGAAAGTGAGAAATCAACCCCCCCCTCCAGGGGGATGGTCACACTGCAATCCCTTCCCCTCCATTCTCCTCTGGGATCTTGGGCATGCATGCACATGCGCCCAGCGTGATTTTTAAGCAGGCAGGTCTGCTCAATCCATGGTAAACTATGTGGGAGTACAGTAACATAACCATTATGCCATCTGCTGGTCCTGGAATTTCTAATTTTTTAAAAATATCAATGATATCCCAATGGCTTTCTCAATAAATTCAAGTGTCCCAGATTAATATTTACTATTAATATTTACTATTAATATTTACTTATGCCCTGGGAAATATAGCCTCCACATAGCCTTCTTTCTTTCTCTTCATAATATCTATTTCTATTCAACAAGCTTTCCTAACTCTGGAACTTCCTTTTACTTTTCTATTCACATAAGACATCTTTTCTTTACCTCATTGTTGTAGTAAAGTTAAAAAGAACTAAATAATTTTATATAAACACACTGGTGATACCATTATCAAATCTGTGAATACCAGAAGAGAAAGACATGGTAAAAGTAAAGTAAATGAATTTTGTTTAGGATAATATCTTAAGTGTTTAGAAGGCTTTCTCTCTATGCATATAGGAAATAGGAAATGAGAACTTCAGGTTTCAAGAAAAGAGATTAAATTTACAGTTAGAGACTTGATATTTATTGGCACCCCAAATGAAGCTATAAAAATGAATGTGATTAACCAAGAATATAAATTCATGAAGAGAAGAAAACCATGGACAAAAGCATAGGGATCCCTTCCTCCTACCCCCAAGAAAGGAGGCAAGAGAGCTGGGGTAGGGAAGACAGACAGAAAGGAATGAAGAAAGTAAAAAGGGAGGAGAGACAGTAGAATGGGAGATAAAAGGGAGAGAATAGTATGTAAAATGAAGGTTGGAAAAATCTTGAGACCTGGGGTAGTTAATACTATCAAATGCTGGTCAACTATGACAGAATTATTAATAATTGTAAATTTAGCAAAAAGAATGCCAAAGCTGAATCAAGTAGACTGATATGAAACAAAAACTACATTGAGAAATGATATGAGTTAAGCAAGTATATAAAGTACATACAGAAAACCCTAATTTCATAATTAAAAAAAAATAATTACCTGTGTGACGCAGATGTTGGTGTATTCAACATATCCTTTATTTTTTGTTTTTTTCTCACATGGCGCTGCTTTATTGTTTTTGGTCTTTTGGGCTGAAGATTTGCTAGTTCCATTAGTTTGGTCATTCTATGATGGGAAGAGGGAAGGTAAAGAAGATTCCCTTATCTATAAAAATATCTATTTACTACTTCCTCTGTTAAGATTACATTTGTATTTGAAATAACCAAAAATTTATTCAATTGTAATTTACCAAACTAAAAAAAATGTTTCATTATGAACATTATTAGCTGCCCAAATAAAAGGCTAGACTTTATGCCAGTTGAAAAAGATACACTAAAGCAATCCATGTAACTTGTTCGTTTTTTGACTGATATTCAAAAATATTATCAACAAGTAAAATTAATTCATATTCTAATTGTCAAATATAGCAACTGAAGTATTTCATTTAAAAGTATGGGGCCAACAGGTGGTGTGGTGAATAAGGGCGCTGGATTCCCACATGGCTAACCATGGTTCAAGTCCTGGACCTGGTGGCTTGCTTTCTCACTTTCCGTTTCCCTTTCCCTCCTTCCCTCTGCCTCCTTCTCCCTCTCCTTCCCTCTCCCTCTCCCTTTCCCTCTCCCTCTCTCTCTCTCTAGTCAAATAAAGAAAAAGAAATAACAATAACAAATAGAAATAAATAAATAATTCTTTAAAAAAAAGTATTTTGTACATAATTGTTGCAATCTATCAGTACATAAACAAGGTAACTTAAACTATTTCAAAACAAAGTAGTTTATAACTAAAAACTACTCTGAAGTAGGCATAAATAAAAAGCAGAAAGTGATAATTGATACCTTTTACATAGCTTTTCTCTATTAAGAATAAGAATATTAATATTTAGGACAGATCTTGTTTAGGTATGATTGTATCTTCTACAGACCAGGAGCTCAAAACCCAGTAGTTAAAGCTCTATCTCCCGAGTTACATTTGTAAAATTTGAAAGCAATATAGACACACACAACAAAATACTGGGGAAAAAGGAGAAGGTGTAGTTAAAATGAGCCTTATATCTATGTTTTCTCTAAATGGAAAAGAATTAAGACAGATGATTTGGTTTACCAGGTCAATTTACTTATTGCTTACAAAAAATGTTGTGGGAAAAAAAAAAAGAAAACAGTTCTTCAAAGCCTATGTGTTTATATTCATAAATTGCTCACCCAAAATACAGCTAGCCTCAATGTCAGGAAAATCAATAAATATTTGCAAAATAAATGAATAGTAGCATTTTTGGATTTTTTTTTTTTTTTTTTTTAGGTTTTGATACATTTCCACTATACAGTAGAACACCATGAAACTAGAGGCTGGTTCATACAAGTTTTCTTCTCTCTCTCTCTTGACTCAAAGGACTTATTGGCAAAATAAATAAAACAAAACCAACCAATCAAACCAAAAAAAAAGGTTGGGCAGTCTACACATTAGCATTTCTAACTACTATCATTAATTTTATAAAGAAAGGTGAGTTCACAAAGATTAAGTAATTAACACAATGTCAACATTCCACACTATTCTTTATTTAGCAATGAGTTAAAATAACCATCTATCAAGAGCTGCCAGCTTCCCTAAATATCTCTAGTCAAGACAGATCACTCACATTTTACAGTTTTAGCCTCATCTATACTTTGACTTTAACTCTCCCCCTGGAAATAAAATACATACTAAATCACTTCTTAGATGCACACTGACTCAATAGTCAAATTCTGTCGATTATTTGTAAATGTTGCCAAAGTCTCTGCTTGGGTTGACTCCTGCCAACCATTCCTTCTATATCTAACTTCCATGGTACATAGTGACTTAAGATTCCCATCACAGGTTAGAGGTTGGCAACCTAAAGGCTAAGGACCAAATCCAGTTAGTTGCCTATTATCAGAACATAGCCATAGCACTCACTTAGGTATTGTCTTTGTCTGCTTCCTATTACAAGAGTCGAACTATGTAGCAACTATATGAGTTATATACTTGAACATTATTAACAACTTACTAGTCTTCACCAGAATCTTTAAAATATATGTAGATAGTCTAGAATAACAAATAAATAACTCATCTGCTATAATTACTATGAATAATTTCATACAGAATTCTACAGAATGGTTCTATAAATTATTCTGAGGTAAATACGGTCCAGGGAATAAGTTGTCAAAACAGTAATTTGGAACTAGCAGATGGCTTAATGATTATGTTGCTGGACTCCTATGAAGACGACCGTGGTTCTAGTCCTGGACCTGGTGGCTTAAAAGTCACACCAGGCACATGTGCATGCATGCCAAAAATCCCAAGAGGAGAATGGAGAAGGGATTGTAGAGTGGCCATCCCCCTTGAGGGGTGATTTCTTACTGTCTTTCCAGTGAGCACATATGGAACATAGAATTAAAATATTAGTTTATGTGGTGCAAAAAAAAAGAGAAATATATACAGCTTTTTTACATATTTTCCACTTACTTTTCTTTTTTTTTTTTTGTTTTCTTAGTTTTTACTATAGGGTAGTGAACTTGTAGGAGAGAGATACAGAAAGAAAAAAGTGAGGAATCATCCCCCAGTGAGGATGACCATGCCACAATCTGTTTTCTCCATTCTCTTCTCAGGATTTTGGACACACACACACACACACACACACACACACACACATGCATCTGGTGTGATTTTCAATTCACAAGTCTGGGACTCGAACCACACAGTTGGCCAGATAGGATCCAGTCCCTTAACCTCTAAGCCACCCATTAGCTCTCCAGTAACACTTTGAAGAGCCCTTGTAATGACAGTAGTTATAGTCTACAAAGTCACCTAAATATTACATTAGAAATACTTGAAGAAATGCATCTGAGGAAATTTAGGGTCAGGTTCCTGTGAGCCTTTGATCACAACACTGTATCAAGTTATCTGTACATTATGTTGTTTTATGTGTGTTTAAGTCACTTATTCAATATACATGGTGCTTTATTAATACTGAACTAATAGTCAACACTGTCAAAACTTTGTCCCGTGAAAAACTCATTTAACACACGTATTTTCTCCGTAAGGCATATCCCAGCCTTCTTGAGCTTAGGAACAATATGCAGCACTTCACACTATGCTTGCCATTCATTTTAATCAGCAAAACTGTCATACTAAAACTCAAAAATGTAAGACCATGGTGCTAAGTAGATCAATGAAAGGACACCTGTTTATAGTATGAAGGTGGAAACAACAGGTCACTTTATTCAACCTCATATGAAAACCGGTAAGTCTGAGAACTCAAATTGTTCATCACACTGCACATACCTATGTCCACAAAACACTGTAAAAGTAGCACATATATTAATTTGGGGGTTACACATGAATTTCAGTAAGTAAACAAATTTGGAAATACAGACTCCATAACTAACAAGGCTCAACTGTACTTTCTAATATCAGAATCATCAATCAATAGATAATTTGAAAATTTTTCCTTAAGTCTTTTTATCTATACTCAGGTATTAACCCTATAGCTAATATATGCTCAAGAGGTTAGGGGCTAGGGTTAGACAAACCCTAATTATAAGGAATTGTAGGTAGGACCAGCAGATGGCATAATGATTACATCATGACCATGGTTTCAGTCCTGGACCGGGAGGCTTAAAACTCACACCACACTGTGGGCGTATGAGTGTACATACCCAAAATCCCAAGAGTGGAATGGATAAGGGACTGCGGCATGGCCATGCTCCTGGGGGGCGATTTCTCTTTTTTCTGTCTCTCTTCTCTTTCTTTATCTTCAGCGAGCACATGCTCCCTATAGCAAAAATCTCTCATAAACAAAAAAAAGAATTGTAGGCAAATTTACAAAGACCCTTAAGAGAGTCTCCTTCCCACATTCTATGTGTCTTGGAAATGAAACAAATACTGTATCCCATTACAAACCTCTGTCGGTCCTCATCATCACTGCTTTCATATTCAGATTCTTTACTGGATAATTCCTCATCTTCTTCTGGCAAAGGTGGTTCCTCAGGTGGCTGAGGAGATGTGGGTGGAAGAGGTGCATGCAATAGCATATAATCTTCATACTAATTAAAAGAAAAAAGAAAAACTATGGCAATCTATGTTACAGAACAGACAACTATTTCCATTCAAATACTTGATATTCATTTCTCTATATCTCATGCTATTCTTTTACACATTCAATACATATTCAGTAAACTACAGCTCAGGCAAATCACTAGCTAATTACAATTCTTTGTTCTTCCTGAGTAACCAGGTTCAACTAAATTTTCAAACCTCCTGTGCAGTTGTATTTTACCATGTAACCAAGTTTTAGTCGATGAAATAAGAGAATAAAAACCTTCCAACCTTCCACAAATAATCATTTCTTCCTTCCTGATCTGCAGATTATATGGTAATGTCCTTGTCAATTTAATAAGGCAGAAAATGAAGACGACTTGTTTTTTTTCAAAAGACCTACTAAAGCAGAATATCTCTGCCCACCTTTCAGAATGGATTTGCTCTTAATCTTGACATGACCAAGAAATATCTTTTATTATATCAAATGACTAAGAATTTAAGTCTTGTTATTAACAACCGCTACCATGATCTTAACTAATATGCTCACAAGATACCAAGCATTGTATTGGTATTGTGGTTAACAAAGAAAAATTACAAAGCAAACAGTACATACATTAGACAAACAGCTAGCCCCAAAGCGAATTCTCTTCTACTTATGTAAACACTCAAATAATGTCACACTATTACCTACATATATACCAAGAATGTGATTGTGAAATAATAACTAAAATTACTCAAGAGCAGAAACAGCCTAGTATTAAAATGGGTAATTTGCGCAAAAAAATTATAAAATATTATTAGCAAACTTTATGTCTTTTGAAAATGAAACTCTATTTCCAATAAAATCAGAATTTTAAAATAATTAAGTTAAATGTAATTGTCTTACAGGATGGCACAATATTCTAGGTCAAAGAATTGAAAACACTGGGAAAACAATATGGGCTATATTATCAGAAGCATGTCTTTCATATTCTGGCTGCTCCCTACTTTCAGTTCTCAAATTTACTTCAATTACAATTACTCTACATTGGCTCCTTATCTCAATGTATTGGGTTGCTGGAAAAGTCATGATGCATTTTTGCATTAAAAAAAAACAGAAAAATAATGTTATGACATTCCCAACAACCTAATACATCAGAGGTTACTAAAATATTTGCATAATTTAGCCTTAATAATCTCAACCAGGAAAATAAATTTTGACTCCTGAAAATTCTAAGAGCCTTCTTACCATGGGAGGTCGTGCAGTAATTGGTCCAAAAGGTGTGGGCAAGTTCATTTTATTCATGAGATGAAGCACCTTAAAGTGGTAGAACATTTAAAATTACACAGTATTAACTAACTGAACTCACATCTTAAATTTTATGTACTAAAAAAATTATAATTACACTATGGATCAATTTAGTACAGAGAAAGACCCATCTCTTTTTTAAACCCCAGGACAAGGTAAAATAAAGCACTGGTATATATCTCAGAGGATTAGACTTTCTAAAATATTTGTCTATTATACAAACATAATTATTTCCATTACTAAGAATGTAATGTAAGTCAGCAGGTGGTATGAAAGTTAAGGCACTGGATTCCAAATGGCCACCTATGTGGTTCGAGTTCCAGACAAGCATGGCCTGAAAATCACGTCAGGTGCATGTGCATGTGTGCCCAAAATCCCAAGAGGAGACTAGAGGAGAAGGGAAGGTGGTGTAGCCAACCCTGGGGAGTGATTTCTTACTTTCCCTCTTTTTCTCTGTCCCTCTCTCTCTGGTTGAGTGCACGTGCCATATAGTTAAAAAGAATGTACTTACACATAAAACCTACTTGAATGTTTTTATATCTCCCCCCCAATTATTGTGAAATTATTGAACACATAAAGTACAATAATGAAAATAAAGTCACTTATATTTTCAAAGTATATTATTACTGTCAATATTTTCAGGTATTTGTGGAGGAGTTGACTGTATCCTTTAAGAATCTCTAAGTTCAAGGAATTCTAAAGTGGGGCCAACAGATGGCATGGTGGTTAAAGGTGCTGGACTCACACATGGCCAACTGTGGTTCAAGTCCCAGACCTGGTAGCTTGAAAATCACACTGGACCTGTGTGTGTACCTGCCCAAAATCCTGGGAGAAAAATGAAGGAGACTGGATGATTTCACACTTTTCCTCTTACTGTCTCTCTCTTTTGAGCTAGCTAAAGTAACAGAGTTATCAGAAATTACATTTCCCAAATTAGCTCCTATTTATTAGTATCCATTTATACTACAGTTTATAAAAGTCTTTACCTGACAATAGTAATATTTTATTACTTTACGTGCTACATTAATCATTGCCTGTCTGCAATTAGTCCAATACTATTATATGTAAGTGTGAATATCAGCATGAAAATTCAAGTATCAAGCTATATGTACATACACTTTGAGGAAAATAAATTTTATTCTACTTACCTGAACATAGAATTTGGGCACACTTGCCAAAGCATTTACTATGTTTGCTAGGATTGTGCTTGAAGGTGGTGGGTACATATACTTGAGGCATGAATTTAGAGGAAAAGTCAGTCTTAAAAAAAAAATAAAAAAGTTAAAATCCTTATCATGCTTTAACAATTCACATCAATAACTCATTTAAGATAAGTTATTGACAAGATACACAATCGACCCCTATGCTACAGTACTCTTAGATTTACCTTACTCCTGAAAGAGCTAGATAAGTACACATTTAAAAAGAAATTAGCAGGACTAGCAGGTGGCATGGAAGTTAAATAACTAAATCTCGTGTGGCCAACTCCACAGTTCGAGCCCTGGACCCAGTGGCATGAACAACATCGGCACATATACCTATATGGCCAAAATCCCGAGAGGAGAATGGTGAAGGAATTGTAGCATGGCATTCTCTCTGGGGGGGTGATTTCTCATTATCCCTCTGTTGTCTCCAGAGAGCACATGCACCCTACAGTAAAACTTAAAAAAAAAAAAAAAAAACGAAACTTGCCTTCTGATTCTATTAAAAATAAGGTATTTCTTATCAGAGCTTAATCTTAGAACTCTAAACTGTATTTATTTGAACTGAACTGGTAACAATCTCAGAGCTCAAAGTATTTAGTCAACATATTAAAAATATACATGACATACATTAAGATATTCTTATCTTTAAAATAATCTTATTTGCAATATAAATATACAAAACAATAAAATCAAACGAACAATAAAAAGCAGACAAAAAAATGCTAACCCATGGTTTGGTGCAATTCCATTTTCTATTGTTAAACAACCAAGCTCTTTCTTTTCTTTATCGTCTTCCACAGGTTCCTCAGACCTAGGATGTACAAAATCAAAGTTTATCTTATCTTTAGCAAGAATGAAAAACTGCATACAGAAAAGGCAAATATCTTTTCAAACATGTCATTATGAAAGTTTCATAAAAGCAATCAAAATTCTTTCAAGGATTTCTTAAGCATTTCAAGCATTTCTTAAGCAAATGGTAACCTTCACTAAATACTTTCTGTACACTGGACATTCCACATGTGCATTAATTTTTTTTCAAGAGAGATTTTTGTTATAAAGCGTATGCACTTGCCAGGGGGAGAAAGGGAGAGAGCGAGAGAGGGAGAGAGAGACAGAAAGCGAGAAATTACTTTCCCTCCCCAGGGGGAAACGGTCATGTCACAATCCCTTTTCTTCCAGTTTCCTCTTGGTATTTTGTGTGCACACACACACACACATGCACCTGGCATGAGGTTTAAGTCACTGGATCCTGAACCATGGTCAACTATTTGGAAACATAACCATTATGCCATCTGCTGGTTTATTTGCATTTAATTTTTATAGCAAGTCTATGAAGATGGTATAATAAATATCACTGACAAAAAAATATCTAGTTTATACAGCATAAAGCATGTTAAATTTCTTTAATAAAAATCACTTGGAGGGTTTCTTAATACTCATAGACTTCAAGGGCCATTCAAAAAGACTAGGTTAGGACCCAAGATTATATATTTCAATCAAATGTTCAGATGATGAAGCTGGCCTAGGCATCATGCTTTGAGAAACTACAGTGTAAAACATACTTCCTTCCATATGACCCAGTAATCCCACTTACTGGTATTTACCCAAAGGATAGACAAATACTCAACCAGAAGACATCTGCAAATCCATGTTTTTTGCAGCATTATTTATAATTTTTTAAAACATGGAAACAATCTAAGTATCCAAAAACTGATGATTGGGCTGAGAAATTGTGGCACATGTTCACTATGGAATATTACACAAGTATAAGAAATAATGAGATTCTATCACTTTACTCAAATTGATGAATATAAAAAGACTTAATGTTGAGGGAAGTGAGGCAGACTTTAAAAGATACACATTGTATATCCTCACTCAATTTGTACTGAGTGCTACGGCAGACACTGGGAGACTTGAAAATGTGATGGTGGAGAGGAAGGGTGTAAATGTTAAGGACTACAATGAGCAAGAGTGGGTGGTAGAAAGAGGGTAGTGGAGGATGGGTGTGAGGTGCAAGGGGAAGAAACATTTAACAGATGGAGAAATGTTAAAAAAAAAAAAAAAAAAAAAGAGCATGTTTGGGACCAGCAGATGGCGTAATGGCTATAATGCTGGACTCCCATGTAGTCAACCGTGGTTCAAGTCCTGGACCTGGAAGCTTAAACTAGGCGCATGTATGTGTGTGCCCAAGATCTCAAGAGGAGAAGGGATTGCAGCGTTGCTATCCCCTTGGGGGGTGATTTCTTGCTTTCTGTCTGTCTTTCTGGCATTTCACTAATTGGTTTAATTTTATATGGTTATAAGGATTAAAGTATTCATGACAACATTTTTATTTATCCCAATAATTTCAAGCTGTTGATTTGTCAGTATTTTTCATTTGTGTCCCTCCATATATCTCGACTGAATGTTAAAAAAAGCAAAATCTTGAAGATGACAGAATTACAGAGAGTCACAGCTGGGAAATACCAGTCTTTCATTTCAAAGATCCTGCCTATTGGTAATATCATGCTACCTCTAAAATAAGGATTTGATACTGTTTTCATTCCCTCTACTTAAAAGTGAATCCTTTTCACCCTGTTCCCTTGCTACAATACATTGATTAATACCTAATATTAAATTAATACTCAGGTTTCTAATGTACGACTAGAAACAAATTAAGATATTATTTTACTATACTAAATAGAAAAAGGTGTCATTACTGTTTCAAATTACTTACTTAATAGAAAACTACTCCAAAATTATATAACTGATTAAAAAAAATTTATAAATGTTAAGAAAACCCCTATTTTCCTTATACCTTTTCTTTTTTTCATTGCTTGAAGTGGAACATGGAGAGTGAACTTGATCTTGCTCTTTTGCAAATTCAACAACCAAAGTATGGCCTAAAAGTTTCAGCTGATGGAGTCTTGTCAATGCCTTCAGTTAGAATAAGAGTAAAAAATATGATAATTATTCATCAAAAATTATGTTAGCAACTACACTCAAAATAATGTATAGATATTTTTTGTTAAATAATGGAAGAATTTTCTTGGCTATTTCTAATCTGAGAGTACCAAGTCTTTATTACTTACTAAAAGGGCTGCTTCCTGTAATAAAGCAAAAGAAAAATCTAAATTCAGCACTCTGACACCTCCGCCAATACCAGGTGGCTAAAAATGGCTGAAAAACAAACATAACAAATCTGCCTGGTCTCACTTTAAATTCATAACCACACATATCTCAGAGTGGCCCTTAGTGATACTACACAATTACACATTACAATCTTAGTTCATTTTTTTCTATCAATCTCTAGAATATTTTATACTTTTTCCTTGTTCCTTAATGACAATATTCCTCTCCTCTTTCAGTCTTGCACCTTGCTTCCGAATTTGAGAAAACCGAAGTAGTCAGACAAAGAGTTTTGGACTTCCACCATAACTTCCCATCTACCAGCATCTATATCCATACTATAGTCTACATTCCATGTGTTATTACAAATTAACTATAGATGTTTTTATCTAAATCCAGCTATTTGATTTGTATACTAAATCATATCCTCTCTCACCTACTCAAGGGCCTTTCTTTAGCTATTCTCTAGAAATGGATTGAGCATGGACTATTCCCATTCCCCACTAGATCGCCCACATCATTATATAAGCATGCTATTTCTCCCATCCTAATTTACCTATAATTCCTCCCCTCCAATTCAGTTTCAGATGTATTCCAATCAGGTCTATGCCTTAATCAGCCCAGTGACATTGTCTGTCACAGACAACAAATTCTGTGTTGCCAAGCCAATGGTTAACTCTTAATTTTCACTTTATTGTATTTACTATAATAGATCACTCTCTCCTTGATACATGCCATTCACTTGGCTTTAAGACTTTTTTTTTTTAATAGATTTTTTCCTAGATCACTAGTTTCTACTCCTCAACGTCTTTGGCTTGTGTCTTCTTATACTCTTTAAAAGTTTTTATTTTATTTTATATAATTCTTCAAAGAAAGAAAAAAAGGCAGTCCCACCAGGGTTTTCACACTGTGATTCCCCCCCAGCCTCAGGCGGCTTGGATCACAGGCACATGCAGGTGCACCCCATAAAAAGGGAGACCTTGTGACAGGTACTCAAAACATTCCCCCCTTTTGGCCTTATCAATGCAGAGCACAGTATTACCTTTGTGCCACTGTTGCTGGCCACAAAGGTGTGTTTTTGGTCATCCTATCCACTAAATGAATTCTCTTGGTGATCTAATCCAGCATTTAAGTTTAAATGTCTCTATGAGTCCTCAATCTATAACTTCAGCCCAGATCTCGGCCCTAAAGCCAAGGAACATATTATATATCCAAAAAATGGGTAAGTCTCATCAGGTGTTTAATATAATAAATACCTAAAATTCAGCAGTTTTTAAAATGAACTACCAATCTCTCCCCTATCTTCAACAGATATACCAAATATACCCTGTTGCATAAACTTTTAGAATACAAATCCTTGGGTTTTTTAAAGCTATAGTTTAACTTTACCTATTTGTAATCAAGATGGGACAAGGAAATTGTTCGTATATTTGATAGTAAAGAAAAGTCATCATACCTTTATAGCTGCTTTTTCATTAGGGAAAGTAGCAAAAGCTGTATGTTTCTGAAACAGAGTTAAGGTACAAATTACTTCCAAAATAATTTGTTTTTCATAAAGAAGTTTGGCATTTTCTGGTAATTTGACATATTCATAAAATAATGGGACAAGACGGAAAGTTAATACCATTTAACTGATTACTAATTTTAGTTCAGTGGTTTTCAAAGTTTTGGGGGTCAAAAACATTTTGAAGTGAGATCTAATAAAGCATTTTCACATAAGAGGCATGTTTTACATATATAAATAGTTCAAAATATCTAAGTTTAAAACCCCCTACTACACACACAGGATTACTCTTAAACCACCTAAAAATAGAAAATCTTTCTTTTATATAACATGCCTAAACATCTTAAAGTTTCTACTATATAGTCAATAAAACTTAAAAAAAAAAAAAGGTTTGCTAACAGAGAAATCATTTCTCAAGGTGCATATTTCCTCTGATTTATCTTGGTAATAAAGTTCTATGAGATGTCCATTTCAAAACATAATTTGTAGATAATAAATGAAAAGTAAATTAAGCATTATATATGTACATATATAACACATATATATAACATGTTGTTTACTTATTTATTTATAGAGATTTTTGCTATAGGACACATGTACTCCCCAGAGAGACAGAAAGCCAGAAATCTCCTCCCTCCACACACACACACACAGAGGTGGTAGTGGCCATGCTGCATTCCCTTCTCCTCCATTCTCCACTTGGGAATTTGGGCACACATGCACCTGTTGTGAGTTTCAAGATGCTGGTAAGGGACCCTAACCGTGAAATAACCATTATGCATCTGCTGCTCTCAAGCATTATGTTAAAGAATTCCTGTCAATGCTTGTTCAAAGTTACTAATCATATCACACAATTTAATTTTGTTTAATCTGATCTAAAATGAACTAAATAAGTGAACTTAAACTGAACCATATAGAACATTTTCATTTATTTTTTTTTGGTATACATGACACTTAAAACTAATCAAAATCAGTCTTTTTTCTCATGATTCTCAGTCCTGCCTGCACATTAAGAATTACCTGAGATTTTAAAACCATTCATTGATGTCCTATCCCTCACAGACCATCCAGCAGAAAGTTAACATTGCTATTATTATTTTAATAAAGAGAACTTCATCCAAAATATCTTCAAATATAAAAGAAAATAACTGTAAATTCCTGCATAGGAATTTTTAACAGTCTTAAAATAGTTTCCTAAAGAAGTCCGTGGGAGGGAACCAGCAGTTAGCTAGCGTAATGGCTATATCGCTGGAATCCCATGTAGTCGACCACGGTTCGCGTCCGACCACGGTTCGCGTCCGACCACGGTTCGCGTCCCCGACCCGGTGGCTTAGAACTCACACCGGGTGCCTGAGCGTGCGTGCCCGCCCAAGATCCTGAGAGGAGAATGGAGGAGAAGGGATTGCAGCGTGACCATCCCCCCTGGGGGTTGATTTCTCGCTTTCTGTCTCTATGTCTCTCTCTGTCTGTCTGGCGAGCGCACGCGCCCTATA